GGGGAAGGGAACGGGGAAGGGAACGGGGAAGGGAACGGGGAAGGGAACGGGGAAGGGAACGGGGAAGGGAATGAGCGGGGAATGGCCGGGGAATGAGCGGGGAATGGCCGGGGAATGAGCGGGGAATGGCCGGGGAATGAGCGGGGAATGGTCGGGGAATGGTCGGGGAATGGCCGGGGAATGGCCGAAATCGGGAAAAAAACTAACATTTTGAAGATTTTTGATTAAATATTTTCATGAATTGTTTTCGTTGCGTTATGGCAAATGTAGCATTGAAGTAAATCGAAATTACAGTAATAGGATTAGGCGACCGAAGCTATGTTGTTTGTGTAAATGACGTAGTTCCTTTTGGGACAGGCCAAGGCTCCCACGCAATTGTATCATATAAGATTGTGCTTTATTTAATAAATGACTCGCCACTCTGGCTTTGACTCCGCGCACTTGTTTTGCATTGACATTGCTCGGCACGTTACAAATATTAAACCATAGCCGATAGTAGACCCTACTAGACCGCAATATGTAGATGTTTATACGATCTTATCATTCTCATGTTGATTTATTGTTTGGCTTGAATAAAACAGTATTTGTCAGTGTTAACTATACAAGTAATCAGCCGATCTGCACATTATAAGCCAATAAAAGTAATGGTATAACGCAAGACAACCATTAGCATCATAGGCGTACGGGAAAAAAGGAGAATTGGGGGCAGAAAGAAATTCGCCCGACTTTTTCGGATTGTGCCCGACTAGTGCCGAAAATTTTTTTTTCCCGTAAAATAGTTTTTGGCGACCTCCCCCCCCCCTTTAGGGGTCAAAAAAATTTTCCGTACATACAAAATTTTTCGGAACTTAAAACAAACTTTCCCAAAAATTTAAAAATTAACATATTTCCCAAAAATTTTACATAATTTTTCCCATTTATTTTTATAATAACCAAATACTGCCCGACTGTGAAGCAAAAATTGCCCAACTGGCTTTGTTAGCCCAACAAACTGGGGTTATTATTAAGAGAGATTTTCTTGTTTTGACTACTTTTTCCCCGACTTTTGCCCGACTTTTGCTGAACATTTGCCCGACTTTTCGACTTTCTAATCTTGTTGGGGGGGGGGGAGCTTCCCCCCCTGCCCGCCCCGTACGCCTATGATTAGCATATTGGTCATACTGGAATTGAAATTTACGCATATTTATACTCCTAACCCACAGCCCCAGCTCTATACACTGCAAATAAATTATTGGATACAATCATACAAATATTTTATTGATACGTTCTTGATATACAACGTGAGGATCGGGTAACAGTATTAATTCCAATGTCACTGTGCGGCGTATAGCTATAGGAAGCGCGGCGTTTAAAAACCTGGCGAAAATCTGTCATTAAATGTAATTTGTGTCACACAACACTTTTTTAACCTTCAGGTAAATTCTTGCTGTCCAGTTATATGCTAAAAATTTCATTTCATTTGTAATGATGACATTTCAATCCAGTATTTTTTCGAAATTTGATCTTACATTCTTACTAAGCTTTACATTGTGCTTAGATAGGAAGCGCACATTGAAAACTATGCCCAAAGTGCCACATACTCAAATGACAAAAGGTGAGATAAAATAGTGTAATACGTCAGCAAACAGCTTTTGGTTGCCAACATTCAAAATGTCTGGAGTACAGGGAAGCTTTAAATTTCCTTCACTAATAAAAAGGCGAAAAATAGATCACTGTTTACCCACATTTAGTTGGGAATCACTAGAACATGTTGAAGAAATTGGCAGTGGTGCTTTCGGGGTATCTTAAACCTCTCTATTGTTACGTGATACGGTTTTGATCAATCGTCGAACAGAGAAATTGAACTTTGACAAAAACTATATAACAAGGTCTATTGTCTTGCGTTGTATATACTTACAATGTGCGGTCCGGCTGATTACTTGCCATAACGCAACGAAACGAAACGAACTTGACGACATTTACACAAACAACATAGCTTCGGTCGCCTAATCCTATTACTGTAATTTCGATTTACTTCAATGCTACATTTGCCATAACGCAACGAAAACAATTCATGAAAATATTTAATCAAAAATCTTCAAAATGTTAGTTTTTTTCCCGATTTCGGCCATTCCCCGGCCATTCCCCGACCATTCCCCGACCATTCCCCGCTCATTCCCCGGCCATTCCCCGCTCATTCCCCGGCCATTCCCCGCTCATTCCCCGGCCATTCCCCGCTCATTCCCTTCCCCGTTCCCTTCCCCGTTCCCTTCCCCGTTCCCTTCCCCGTTCCCTTCCCCGTTCCCTTCCCCGTTCCCTTCCCCGTTCCCTTCCCCCATTCCCCGTTCCTCGTTTTAAAGATAGCCGTCTTAGTGTTCTTGTTATTGTCACGCAGCTTATCGCGCAAAGCACGCGAAACATACTTTATTTCCGTGATGTCAGAGTTTGTCGATATTAAATTTCGTAGAGCCTTTTTCAAATTTTTAACTGTATGATCTTTATATTTATTGATTAAGTTTTTATCAGGAATCGTTTTCGTATGTCCAAAGTTATCGGCAAAGTAGTTATATATCGCGTCATTTAATACTTATTAGAATGTTAGGGTTTGTAATCCAAGTGAGAATATATACATTTTAAGACCTAACCAGGAACGACTGCGAAAAATGCAGCACAAGGTCCTCTGGTAGAAATTGAACCTACGGCCCTGCGATTCCGGTGCAGCGCTCTAACCAACTGAGCTTACAGAGGTAACCGTAAGTTCATGTATATATAGGTAATCGGGTGTGCGGGTTGTGATAAGGTGAACTTCAATGATTTGGATACTTGCACTTCACTTGGTGGAATTAATATTAGAATGTTAGGGTTTGTAATCCAAGTGAGAATATATACATTCTAAGACCTAACCAGGAACGACTGCGAAAAATGCAGCACAAGGTCCTCTGGTAGGAATTGAACCTACGGCCCTGCGATTCTGGTGCACCGCTCTAACCAACTGAGCTACAGAGGCCAGCTGTTAAGATTCAAGTCTTGTGATTTGATTGCTCCATTTAAAAGTAGAGCAGATTTAAAATGTTCGTTTGCCGTTGACCATTCTGAATATTTTTTCGGCAGCTTTATTCCTTTTCTTAAGAACTGCCTGAACTGGACTTGTTTCATTTTCAGCCGTAGTTAAATTTGTAACTTCATCATCCGCAAGAACTCCTTCTGTGTTGTCATCCTCATTCTGTTCTTCAAGATCTGTACATAGCTCGTTGTTAAGCCCATGTATAACGCGACAACTACGCTGGTGCATCTTGAGACCCCGAGTCCCTTTACAAATTTTTCCACAGCAGCATTTAACAACAGTCCGGCTTGAAATAACGACTGTAGGTGAATTCACGACAGGCACTTCCCTTGTTATTGGACTTTCCGAATCACTTTGTTCTGCTTGATCAACTCGTTGTTTACAACGCCACGAGTGTCGACCAAGCGTAACAAAATCTTTACCACAGAATGAACAGACAACGCACATTAGCAACATAGCAATAAAACTTGATCGAATCATGGTTAAACACCTTTATATTGAATTTTTGAACATATACGATGTGATAATTCATGTAAGAAATGAACGATAAAACTAGAGACATGTACAGAGCGAGTACGGCTGTGCTCGATGTCGTAATAATAATGGAAACTTTTTATTAGATATTTAC